CATGAATTTTATACTCGATAGCAGCGAAAACCTTAAAATATAAACTCAGCGACTAAAAGCTTATCTCATGCACAGCTCTTGAAGTAATATATCAACAAACCCTCTATTTTTTCAAACTGGAATCGCTATAAAATATATGAGGCGTTTAAAGAATGTGGTGGAAGTAAGATATTTTGTCTCACCTCTCCCGCTCTTTAAATCATAGGGGGTGTACGTCGCCCCGGTGAACACGATTGCAAGGACCGTCGGAACGAATTCATTGCGTTTTTCGGATCCGACTGCAACAATGTCGCCCCGCCCAACCCCCAGCTTTGTCAAAGCGGTGGACATATTGACGGCATATTGTGTGAATTCCTTGTATGTTAGTTTCTCACGTGTTTCTCCGAGTTCCTGGACGTTTAAGATAGAATTGTTACTTATATATTGGAAATTTGATATCTAATTTAAAGCGAACTGTTGAACTTGAAAGAATTAATACTTTTAAGAAATAGTAGGAGTTGATTCAAACATGTAGTCGAAGACTGCCAAGGTATGCACTAATAGTGCTTAAATAATGATTACATTAGTTACGTTTTTATTAAAAAAATCGTACTTACTAGTGCAATTTCATCTTTTTGGAGACGAAGACGATCTAAAATGAATTTACCAAAATTCAAATGGGCCGGTACTTGTACATTTTGATCACCAAACACGTAGTTATCGTCCATAAACATATTTGCTGATTGAGATATATCGAGGACTTTCAAACTAATCACGATTCTCACTTATTACTTAATTGAATAATGTATGAAAGTACCCGCTATATATAAGCATGAAAGGATATTAATTATTTTTATTACTATTGATAAATAAATAATAAAGATAAGAATAGTATAAGAGCATGTATTCACTGCACTAATGCTCAGAACAGATTTCTAACACTGCAATATTAGATTGCACTACTAGTTTTGAACGCCCACTATCTTTTGTAAGTAGTTTTCCGAAGACAATGGGGTAATAAACCCTCTAAACGATTATTTAGAGTTAACTAGATAATGGAATGACATTACTGTAGTAAAACTCCATGGTTTACTTGCATTGATAATAAATCGATTTTTCAAATGTACTTATGACACGTGGGAGATATTAGAAAACGTGTTAGAATATTATGTATATAAAAATGAAACCCGTTTCCCGTTATCACGCCATAACTTGGGAACGACTAGACCGATTTGGCTGATTTTTTTTAGTTGTGTTTGTTACTATCAGGAGAAGGTTCTTATGACAGAAAAAACATCCCGATAATCCTACGGGAACGGGAGAAAACGGGATTGCGCGTTCGAAGTCGCGAGCACAAGGTAGTAATTACAAAATAAGGAGATTATTATAAAAAACTGTAGTGCATTGTCTGACCGAAAAATTGAACCCAAGACGCCTTTGTACTTTCTAGGCAATCGCATTATTGGTAATTTGACTTTACTTACCTAATGAATCATGTCTTACATCTATAATTTAATGCGCTAATAAAATGGTTGGTTTATAGATATTTTTTAATTAATTATTTAATATTTTTAATTATGAAGGTAATATATTGTTATTAATTGTTTTGTTTTGTTTTATTGTATTTGCTGTGTCTAATCAATTAATACCTATACTTGATACCTAAAGAAAGGTGATACGACAGACGGTATTTTTTTAAGAGGGGAAAATCATCGAATGACTTCTCCCACCTGGGTGAGGCGGGAGGGAGTGTCAGACTCTTACTGACTAAAAACCACCCCGTTACTTCTCCTGCACGTCGAGCTAGAGCCCCGGTAACCCGTTAGGTTCTCCGCGACTCCGAATCGGCATCGGCCCTGTTAGGTCCCATCCGTGGTGTATCAGACGGTATAGTTATGTCTTTCATTCGGCATCTTTCACTTAAAATGATACGTCTGAACATGAGAATGAATCAAGAGTGCAGAATGAATTCATTAGTGAACCGATCCAACGATGTTGGATTTTGGCATTCGGTATCATTCACTCGCACTCCGAATAAACAAAAAAATAACTCTCTGCACACAGAGTGAATGTTCACTCGGATTTGATTAGATTATTACAAACTGAAGCGATTCCGAGACGCACGACATCACTCGATGACAAATTTTAAAAAACAATGAATGAACGTTAATTTCCATGTCATTCAACTAAAGTCGTCTGGAACATGGAGTGACTGATAAATGAAACATTCACTAGGGTGAATATTCATTCAATCCATCTGATATCACCTTAACAGCGATTGGTTCCATGAGATCTATGACATGCATAGCACGAGGCTCTTTAAAAAATAGCATCACTTTCATCATCATCATAAAATCAGCTATAAAATTTTCATTTCTGATAGTTGGCCCACAACATGTAAGAATGTCAAGGACACAAACAAGATGTAAAGGTTTTCCGAAATGTCACTTATGAATAAAGGCGTAGTTTCAAATATTGAACATTTTCATAACGCTTTTCTTTTCAAAATTCATGATCTCATTTCTAGTAATAAGTATACGTATATACTATATACTATATACTATAAGTATATACTATGTCTAAAAACCTAGTCTATCCTACATGTTAATTTTACCCATAAACATATAAATCAATCAGCCAAAACATATTATGGGGTTCTGCGAAATACAACCAAGCTTGCTATATTCCTATGAGAATACGGTATCTTCGATAAACATGATTTGAGCACTAATCTGAGTCCCTGGTCTTGAGGATCAAATTATGTCGTATACAAATTAGTTTTGATACATATATTATAATAATATTAATGTACAAAATTCTTCATTTATTAGGATTTTTTGTGATACTAGTTATGTAATTTTAATTAGGCTGAATATAGCTTGAAGTGGGTGGTATTTATTTGGTAATGTATGTGAACTTGTATGTTTATAGACACACCCACGACGCAGAAGAAATTAATAGTGTTGAGAAAAAATGTGTTGACAAAGACTAGATAGTTTTGATTTAAAATAAGGATTGTTGTAGATTTATAGTTTCTCATTTTTTCGTATCATATTATGTGGCAAACATAAAAATATTGTTGTTACTAACTTGTTCTTAATTTATGTACAATGTAGATGTATATGTGGGTAGGTATCTATATTAATAATTTCGTCAAGGGATACGGTAGACTCGATCGAAACATTACCTGAATAACAAAACATAAAAAAAAATCGATATCGAGTCGACAACTTAGCCACAAAATTCGGATTACGGAGATTATTTCGTTTTATTAATTCATTTTAATGACACTGACAGACAAACCGCAGTCGCCATCTTGAGTAGACAATAAACGTTCCCTTTCATACTAGCTCTCCAATACGCCTCGCCAATCAACACGTTGTCGCGTCAAAAAAGTATAAATTAACAAGAAACATAAATTATTTTACACGAACGAAGTGGAGGATTTTTTTTTTTAAGGGGGGAAAATCGTCGAATGACTGCTCCCGCCTGGGTGAGGCGGAAGGGAGAGTCAGACTCTTACTGACTAAAAACCACCCCGTTCCTTCTCCTGCACGTCGAGCCGGAGCCCCGGTTACCCGTTAGGTTCTCCGCGACTAACGAAGTGGAGGATAACAGCTAGTATTTAAATAAAGTCAAACTTAGTCAACACTGACTACTTTAATTATGCTTTATGACGTACAAACGTTACCGTAACAAAATAAAACTTTTATTTCTGACCAAATAATACTGACTCTCATCTTACAAGAGAAGTCGACTCTATCCTTTGTACCAAATCAAAGGAACTAGAGAAAATTGCCAACAATCGCACAACACTTTCGAGATGCACGTTATTGTCCAATTCGATTGGAAATTCACGAGTGGAAACTCGAATGCAGTAAATTACTAAGTAAGGTATCGATTGTTCCGGACTGTAGGGGGCAGTGTACCAGATTGTTACACCTTACTTATTAATACTGATGGCTATTCGTTCTCGGGCTATACGAACTCACATTACAGATGTAAAAAGTCGTTTGAAAATAAAACGAAAAATAAAGATGTAATAGTCTCCTCTTTTAGAAGTAGTTCGGACAAATTGAACAAAAGAAAAATCTTTCCATTTAACAATTCCTTGTGACGCTTGTGTTGAAAATATTTCTGAAGATGTTTGCCGAATCGATAGCTAACATTTATTTATATCATATTAAATTAACTTAAGCTCTTTCGCTTTGACACTTTTGTTGATTTTAACTTGAGAAGATTTTACCAAGTTCCAGGAAACGAAAACAGAAGTTTAATTAATAGAAATCATGTTACTTCTCAGCTTGTCTTAAATTCTTCATATTATAATTAATATATTCACTCAATATGTCAAAGAAACTCCTCTCCGTGCGAATTTCTAAGTACATATTTTAATATATCACAAGTTTCAAGGAGCTGTGGCGGGTCGCCTCAGTACTCGAGGACTGAACCACTTGTCACTGTTGAGATCTCTAGAATGATCTCTGCCTAAGTTGTGGTAAACCTCGTTTCATAGGAACTACTTACAACTTACGTACTTCTTACTCTTGACTATTTAATTAGAACGTCGACTCGAATGTAGGTCATAGCAGGAATTATTCCGTCGTCATGTGAATGTTTTTAATCCTTTTTTTTGCATGCAAAACGCCAACTAGTGGAACACGCATCGATACGCCTTTTTAGTTTCCAAAAACCAGCCTTATTCATGTTGGATGTTGTACAGTCCATGAAAGGGAACGTGGTTTGATTTTTTGTCATGGGAATTCCGTCGTCTGTGAGTCCCTGACAAACAAACAAACTTTACTATTTATAGGTATGCAGCGGCCCGCCACGCCATTCAAAGGCATCGGACTCGCTGAATTATTACTCGGAAGCCTTCCTCGAATTTTCATAGTTTTCACTTGCTCGATTGATATAGTCAGACAGATGCAAAAGTTTTGAACTTGTTTCATTGTATACAACGTCAGATTGTTATGATACTTTCGGGTATTGGGGAAGAGATAATGAAAACAAGGTTATAAGCTTCCTTTTATTTCCATATTTTACACATTTATTTGGCAGTTTTCATTTTGTAGCATTATGTAAATCATCACAAAAACTCCCTATGTCCCTATCGTCTCTAGTTGTATTTTACATTATGGCAAATAATCTATACAAGTTTTACAGTAAAAATAATATCAAAAGCCTTACGTTATGAAAGGTAAAGAAATCGACCAGTTATTAACTACCAAAGCACAGTAGGTTACGTATTAATAATTCGTTAGTGTATACGTCGACTAAATCGTTTATCGGAAATAACATACCTCCTACTTACAAGTTTTCAATTGGACAGTTATAGGTTTATCTCTAAAAAGTCTAGTTCTAGGCGCATTTTTATAAAATCGATGTAGTAGAAAATTTGTGTACAAATTTTTCGTACGAACTAAGCGAACTTAGGAAAGTTATATTATTTGAAAGATTTTTTTAGGTAAAATAATTGGAATGTAAATCGATTCAGTAAGGTAGCGACTAAATAAAATATCTACAGTTATGCAAAATGATAATATTAAACATCTAGATGAATACAGAATCATACAGTATGATAGTGTCTAAAATAATTATTTAGTCGACACTTTACCGAATTATATTGACATCCTTTAAATTGACATTACGTACTTCTCGAAATAATCATATTGATATAATTTTCATCTTTAAAAGTTACTAGGAATTAGTCATGGTACTTAAAACAAGATAGTTCTATTAATCAAAGAAAAATAACAATGCAATAATAGCGATTTGACAACTAACTTAATCCTGATTTTGATAACGAACTTAATGTATGTAGAATTTAACATGCGAACAATTTATTGTCTGGTCAGCTTAAGAAAACATTAACAAAAATTAAAACTAGCAACAAAATAAATTCATTTACCATCACAATATTACAAATATCAAGAAAATAAAATATACCTCGCTATGATTATTACTTGACAAATTAAAGTGAAACCTAACACTGAATTTACTTGGTGGAAACTCGCTGAGTTTTCTAGGTCATCATCTGGAAAAGAAAAACATTTGTTCAATTTTGATTTTAAGCTTATATAACAATAAGATATATTGTTAGCTCAGTACGAAAAATAACATTTGAAATTAGCAGCGAATTAACGTTGTTTTCATTTTCATTGCTGTTTTTATTTACCATAAGTAGTTGTGGAATTTGTTAATGAAACGAACTGCCATTTATTTTCTAGAGGTATTGGCTCCATATCACACTTTCGCACGTTAGCAAAATAAAGTATGATGCAGTTAAAACACCAAAAAGCTTCCAAAATTCGTTTCTTATTATTTCTCTTATGTTACCTATCAATAAGGCTGACATAGAGCTGCTTCTTCGTATAACATTTCATGGGGCTGTCTCACAGTTAAGTGATAAAACTACTCTAGAGTCATTAATATCGTTAAAATATTTACCGAAATCACTTAGTTGTTCGCCGTACATTTCACCTTGGAAGTTGGAACTAATTGCGTCACTACTTTGGATGATTTGCGGCAAACCTGTTAAAATATGAATATCAATATACTACTCATTGTTGATTGAAGAAAATTACATAATACTAGAAAATTACCTTTCTTTCTAATTGTTTGATTGTCTAACACTGTTTTCTGTGTCGTCGTAAAAGCCGACGGCGGAGCCGGTATCTCTGTAACAAATTGATTCTTGTAATCGGTGCGTTGAGTTTCAATAAATGGCTCGTAAAGAAATATCAATTTTAATTATTAGAACATGCCTCTTTACGTTTCCAGAACGTTATTATAGAAATGATTTCCTAAAAGGTCTCGGATCAAAAAGTAAATATCAATCATTTCTTTCTCTCTAAGAAGACTCAATACAATGTGCAAGTGTTTTTCTGAAGGTTACCCCGGAAAAGCTTTACCAATAATTGACAGGCAGTTTTGTGTGATTTTCCCACACTTCCGAATTCCCTGAGATCGTAAAAAGGCTCTTTGTTTTTACGAGTCTTTCAGCGCTTTCAATCGTTCTCTCCAACGGGGGCCGTTTTAAATCAATCTACTAATGTTAAAAAATTACCATCAAGTTTGATGATCCCGTCTGTTTCTCCCAGTGAGTTCTTCGCGATACATTTGTAGAACCCAAAGTCTTCCTTGGTGATGTTCTTGATCTTCAGCATCATGAACTTGTTGTAGCCACTGTCCATCGGGAATGCTTCGTACTTGCCTCCTATAATTTCCATTTCTACTTAAATATAAAACCTGTATGCGTCATTACGTAACAAGTAAGCAACGAAACATTATAATTTTATTCGTATTTTGGGTTCAAAAATAAAAGGAAATTCCTAAGAATTTTCCATAAAGAACTTTAGCATTCGCAATAAACTGTTCATAAAATAGTTCCAAAGATATCAACTCCAATAACCTATTTAATAAGTTGCTCCACTCGCAAACTAGAACGTTCATGCTAGAAAGTTGATATTCGACGAATAACCACTGCAGAGTCAATACAAATGCTCCATTCCATGCAAAAATACCGGTAGCTGCAGAATCAGTTTAGGTATGAGATACCGGCAACGTAAAGAAAATTGCGAACAGTTTTTGATTCAAAGTTGTTATTCGACTTATTTATCAATCGCGCAGCTGAGCTGAAGTGGAAATAGTGAACTATTTCATTATACAAGTATTCTCTATTCGCGCATGAATAAGTACATTCGGAACGTATTCGACTAGGTACACCTCGTTCGCCGGTTCCGATGTTCCGATACAAGGGAAACTATTTTCATTATGAAGTCATAAATCAATGATACAATCGAACGATGGCTTACTTGACGGGAACGCATGTTATTTATGCCAATATGATAAATGTACGTATTTGTGTTTTGTTCCCAGTTCCGATAATATGGCGTTTATTGGATGTTAGTTAGTAGCTGTGGTTTGTTTAAATAAGGATATGAAAGAAGTTGTTTGAAACTACAGTTAGTAAAATATAGGGCACTGACACTGTTTAGGTTGAGAACTTCTGTTATTTAACTCAAAACTATGAAGCAAAAGCACTGTTTGCAAATTATTACATTCTGCTATTTACTATAATCAATGGTTCAAAAGTTTGTATTATGGTAAATAGCAGTATAAGTATTACATACCTAACATACCCATTTTTTACACGGCCTCACAGAAAACCGACGTGAAACAAGACTTGCGTTATAATTCGTCGTCTCGTGTGGAGGACCGGAGGCCCAATTACCCCACGGTCCCCAATCTCCGAATCCCCAAATTCCTAATTCCCAAAAGGCTAAAAACGCACTTGGTGTTCCGGCGCTGATATTGCATACCATCAGGCGATTCGTCTGCTCGTTTACCGGATGGCGGTTTATATCCCATAAAAAATTAATGGTTTTGCAGTGACCACAAACACTCACACATATTACATAACATAATGAACATAACTACGTAATATGTTGTTTAATGAAATCTGTTTCGATTGATAAGACCACAACAAGAAAATTGAAGTAATTAATTCAACATCAACGCAAATAAAATCAATCAAGTCATTTTTTAAATACGTTTGAACATTCATAGAATACAGGGCTCACCGGAAATAATCATGTCTCCGCGGTCAGTGGTCCAGTAGTTGATAGAGGAGGGGTACGCTTCCGTATGGCACTCTAACGTCACGTCCTGCCCAATGTATGCACCTTCCAGCTGATTCGGTATTGACAGCATTGGTGGAACTGTTTTAAAGATTAAATAGGTAATATTAAAATGATACACGGGTATACAAGTCATACATGGTATACAAGTCATAGCATCCATGATATACAAGTCATAGCCAATCGATTACTTGTACAAACTTGAAAGAAAAGTCAGCATTCATGTAAAAGTTATTTTTTATGAAGTTTCATGTTTCATTCACACGCAAAGGCATCGTAGCAGCTACGTAGGTACGTTTCACATTCCGTAGAACTGATATACTGATCTGAATCACGGCTAAACTTAATAGTTATATATTAACTTAGTAAAAATATGTATGTCAACCCAGGTACAAGAACACACCATGCGACACAATGACATATCCAAAAATAGAAATCAAAAAACAAATCGATGTTTTAAATGACATAACCAGTTCAAAACAGTGTAACTGCTTATAGAGTGGTTTAATAATAGAGCAGGCACGCTTCAATTGACATCGTCAACATAACCAACTCACTCCAGAATTATCTTTAAAAGGATATCACGTACTTTTGCCCCATTTATTCAAAGTGGATATATTAAATATGAATACACAAGCATGTTTAATTAAGGCCAGTTTACTTAAACTGTGTGTATCTAACATGTGTAAATCTGATTTATTCGGGTCTCTAATGATAGAGTATCGAATATCCGAAGCGATTCAAAGTGGGAAATCAATAAACACGAGTAGAGACACCCAAGCTATTACAGCTCTAATAAAACGCGGATGACAAACCATTGTGTCTACAGGGCTAGACTCGTTCGCTTGTCAATTTACGTTGTTAGTTTGCAGGTGTGAACCAACCCTAGATCCACTTATTAGGACATCTACGTACACAGATTTTGCGAAATTTCATTTATGAAATAGATTTCTCGTTGTATTTTCAAGAGGCTTCGGAGCTTTGAGGAAAATGGGTTAATTGGAAGATTTTAAGTTTTCTTTTGTCGGTTTATGAAATTTTCTTAATAGTAATAATACCTACGCTTTTGATTCTTAAATAGATTCCTAGATTTGCGTATCTACCTTTTTCGCAAACGTTTTTAATAAAATTTTTATATTAGGCGTCGCTGCGATGTCTACCAGAAGCCAATTACAACTACATACATTGTACCTATTTTTTTACTGAGAAATTCGAAGTCTAAAATCCAATATATGTCTCCTATATTTATTATTTACTTCAAAATTTAGTCGAACTGAAATCGATTCCAGAATCTACAGGTTTAATGTGTTCTATAAAATAATATTAAATTACATTTTCATCATTTAATCTTAGTTTCCCTTAATTTTAAGATAATTTAATTTTGCTCAACGTCACAATGAAGCGTTATTATACTCCAATTATAATATTTAATTATGTTAATAACCTTCGAACTATGACCAAGTCTTCAATAATTTGTAATAATTTCTCTTCCATCAAGTTAATTAACAAGTTTTAGTTCAGAAATATCTCCTTTAACTTTGGATAGTGCTAACCTACTTTTGTCTTTGACTTCTATTAAACGGTCCAAATTATTGTCAATTACAATTTGAATTGTTCGAAAGTTCTCTGATATGTACAATTGTACATAGCTAATGCAATTACCAAGTTAAACCTTGAAAAGCGTTAGTTTAGACTTTAGATATTGTAAAAAAAAAATATCTATTTCGTCTTTTATTTTGATGTTAGTGAACATATTATGTGCAAATCGAAATCATACATTCTCTGACATAAGAATTGAATCGAACGCCCATTGTTTGACTATAACACTGCCACTGATAATTAAAAAACCGAATGTATCTAATATATGAATATTAACCAAATAACTGAAAACACGAAATATATCAAAAATAAGTTCTCGAAACAACCAGCTTCTTTACATAAAAGACGAGTCACATTGACATTGTACACAGACCTAAAATGAACAATTATTATACCTAACACATTTAATTGCTTGGTAAATTGCCTGTACTACATAATCTCCTAGAATATGATAACTAACTCTCAGTAAATTGACAGCCACCTATACCTGCTTAGTTATGTACAACGCCAACTACAATTACAAGTGCTGTCACTTGTGTGTATTGAGAGCAGGGAATATCGAATACTCACACTGAACCATGAGCATGATCCGTTTACTAATCGATGGTGGCACCCCATTAGATGCTATGCACAGGTAAGCACCCATGTGTAACCGAGACACCTTTGTTATTGTCAACGTCTCTCCATCCACTACGCTAACTGCGAACAAAAATGAACATTAAGGATATTGGCTTCAATATAAATGTATCACGATTCAATGACTCAAATACTAAGACTAGGCGAAATTTATGTCCTGTTCGAGATATTAATATGTAAAGGGATCATAATATTCAAACCAAGCACTATTATTGCGAAATTCATTTTCAATTTGCTTTCAAATCGGACAGTCCATTTTACATTAAGTGCTTTCAACCACAGCTCTGAGAAAAGGCTTCGTGTTTTTCGGAATGTTTGAAAGAAAAACTCGAGATTGTTTTTCATACAACAAAAAATTCAATTAAGACAGAAAATGATTTTTATCGAACAACAGTCTACAGGGAAATTAACAATGGATTCTACCACAATTAAAATGTTCGACGTTTTAATGTGTTTCAAATGACAGTTTCAAAAGTTTTGTTCCATATGTTGTGAAAGTTTAGGGGTAATTGAAGGTAATTTAATCTTAATTTGAGGCTGCTATATTTTCTTGTAGCGTCATTATTAACATTCTTGTTAGTAACACAAAACCTCGAACATGCGAACTAGGTACGTAGATACATTTAGTATATTTAGTTCAATTCAAGTTAAAGTGAAATTCCGTGTGTAACGTGGGGCAACGGAGACGATCCCACAAAGCTTGAAAGGCTAAACTAGCTACACAAGAACATTGAATTAGAACTTTGAAATGAACTTGCGAGTTATGAAAAGGCTGTGTTTGTGTTTTAAAACACAAACTATGTATGCAAGTATCTTTAAGTGCCTTACATTTTGCCTAAAGAAACCAAAGAACACATATTACGTACTTAAGTAATTAGACGACATTGTGGTTATCCGCAAAATAGATATTATAAGCAATTACCTACCACTCACACTTAACACATGTCTAATTAATTCATGTAAAGTGACTAAATAAGTATCTTTGAATTTCCTCAAAGATTATCTAGAAGTTATGTTTAACATATATTTTTATCATTTACTTTTATTTGGACCATCATCATCATCAACAGCCTATAAATGTCCACTACTGAGCAAAGCCTCTTCTCCCACAGATAAGGGTAAATGAGCATTAATCACCACGCTTGCTCAATGCGGGTTGGTGATTTCAAACTTATAAATAGAAATTATAAGCCCAGGTTTCCTCACGATGTTTTCCTTCACCGTTTGTCAGTAGTGTCTGAATAATCTCAGAAAGTACATATATTAACTCGGAAATAGTCACATTGGTACTTGCCGTTGGTAGGTTTCGAACCCGCACCCTTATGCATGAGAAGTGGGCGTCTTTAACCTAGTAATAAATTACCAGTTTTTGACATTGCAATAGTTAATAAACTCCTTTAGAGAAACGATTGAAAGTACAACATGGACAACAAATACTAACACAACAACAAAATTGATAATTAGTTATTAACGCTTTCCTAACCTGATTCTCCATTATAATTAAAGTCTTGTCCGTCCTCTCGCCTCCACATGACATAAGGTTCAGGGTACCCTGAAGCCCGACACACCAAGGTGACGTCAGAGCCTTCCCGAACCACCATATCCGTTGACGTCATGTTATCGATGATTGATGGTGGCACTGCGTAAACAAATAAATTCTAAGTATATTAAGTGTCTCAACTGACGCTTACCTACAAGACGGTATTACTAATCATCCTGTCTAATGCGTGTCATCGTAAAATTAACTTTTAATCAATTTTACTTATTGAAAAAGTTAGTGCTGATACAAATTTTATTTTAATCCACCGTCCGATATCATTGTGTCTATTAGCGAATGAAAGTGACGTCTGTCTCATTTATGTTACAGCGACAATAAGTGCTGTCAAATTAGTCCTATAGTTTGTTATTTCTTTAAAAACAAGCGTTCGAATATTTTTATAAACCCGGGACGCGGGGCCCGGATGTTTTGCACAAAAATTGATGGAGGTCATATCTTGCTACGCAATCGGCCTTTTTACATAGTCTGTAGATACTAGCCTCTTGGGATATGACCCATAATCCATCATGTAAAATTCATGGAATTTCTTCACCGCTACTTAGCTTTTTCGCAATATTTTTACGAGCATTCATTCACATTCTTAATGGCTGGTACCACGAGGAACCCGGTGATCGTTGTACAACACACTGGTGAAGGTAATATCTCACACTCACCCACCACCTGCAGGTATCCCTTCCTGGAGCGCATAGGGTCGGTGTTGACCTGGCACATGTACCAGCCGCGGTCCACCTCCTGCACGTTCTTGATGTGCAGGTACCACGAGCGGTGGTCGTTGTATGACAGACTGATGCGCGCGTTCTGGGTTATTATGTTGTGGTGGATGCTCAGAATTGTCTGAGTGTCCATACGCACCCATGCTACCTACAAGTATATAGAAGTTAGAATATTTGCCTTTTACAAGTCTAAAATTTTATATCTTTCTAACTATTTTGTAACTGTTTAAAAATTAAGGCCAAAAGCTATTATTAGTATTCTCTGTTGAATGAGTATCCATAAAAATGATCGTCTGAGGTTGAAATATAATCTTGAGTGGTAACTCTATGTAACTACGAATTATTATAGTGATATAGGTACAGCTATTTACCTTGAATCCTCTTAGATTATCCACAACGCACGCAAGTAGTGCGTCCCGGCCAACAGTCACCGTCACATTTGGTATGGGCTCAGCAAACCTTGGGTACATCGATTCTGAAAAGAACAGCTCAATAAATAGTGTGGTAATGACTAGTAAACATGTTTACTTGTTGTAAAACTTTTAGGAGAAGTAAAAAGAGTCACAAATATGACGAGCGGTGCCGGCGCGTCTGCCGCCGTTTCAACGCGAGCGTCGCGTCGGCCGGTGGCCAAATTGTTTTGATGAAAATAGAGGACACTTTTACGACATTGCCATTCGAATTGTCACGGTTTTTACATAATTTTATATGAAAGTCGTACAATAGGTACAGCAAACTCAATGACACGACATGAATTGATATTCTAAAATGTCAAAAGTAATTGTATGTTACCCAAGATCCACTTAATAGTTAAAATTCAGAAGAATAAATCGATCGGTGATGTTAGAATAATAAAGTAAAAAGTTGGCAGCGATAATTCAAAGAAATTAAAGTTTCAGATTAACTTTGTATTTACTCAACGGCTAACTTCCACAAAAATAGAAGTTGTGAACCAGGAAAACCGACTCTAACTTTCATTACAGTCGCTTGGAAAAAAAGTGTACTGAATGAGTAATTAAGCTGATTCGCCACAACTGGTTTCAACGAATGCATATATCATTGTCTTCCTTCGCTTGCCAAGATAAGTGGCATAAATACCGGACTACATATAGGTCGAATACATGGCGACCCTAGCCGTAGGGTTGCGTGATTTATACTCGGCCAACAACGACAAATAGCGGTTTGTCGCTGTATCCCTCTTTCACCGACAAAATAATGTATAAGAAGCACAATGCTAAAAAACATCAATCTAAAGCGACCTCTAAAAAGTGAGCGGTCGCGAAAAGGTCCTGAGATTTAAGATAAAGTATGTTATTTGCTACGATACATGATAAGTATTTAAATTAGTTTTTTAAACATAAATCTCTCATTCGTTTTTGGGTCACAGATTTTGTTTATGCAATTTTGATTAAATTGTGGGGTATTTACGAGTGTTCTTTTAATTAAAATGGCCGAATGAAATCTGAGGGTAATGCGGATAACGTACACCGATACAATTACAATTTACATTCAGTAGGTACATTAATTAATTATTTTGAAATAGTAATGTTGATCCGTATCAAGTGAAATGAAGTAATATATTTATTATTTTTACATTATTAATACAAAAATAATTATAATGCGTGAGTAGCTCGTTGATCAGATTTTTTAAACGAATACGATTTAATTAATCTTTGCCAAAACGCTTCTCTAACTTTCATACCCTTCATATATCATCAATGATACCTAGAAATTCTAGAATGCGTCAGATATTTCAAGTGTGTAGGACTGAAGGTGTAAACCGTAATATGAAACGTAACATCAAATGTCAAATCTTGTTATATAAACCTAGCTTTCCGATATAGGTTTCCTCACGGCATGTTAGGCTCCGATCACTCGAACATGAGCAAACAGGCTTACATTCCTAATCCCAAATGTTGTTCACGCTTGGCGACCAGATCTTGGTATTAACTTTAACATTTATAATCTGTGTGCTCACTACACGAGTAAAATATGTATATAAGTATCAACGAATTTCGTTTGTAAATGCATTTTTGTATATTTTTTTCGTATAACTACTAATAATTTTCCTACTTATTTACTGTTAGTGTTTCGCTTTATAGTTTTTTATTCTTTTACAAACGTGTAACACTCGATAAAACTGGCACTTTAAGCTAAGCAGAAGTTGATAAGTACCAAATACATTAAACTGACGCGTGATTTTATTTCTAACGATAAATATTAGAAGCATCTTGCTTGTCTAACGAGCCACTTAATCCTTAGCAAACCTGTTTAAGCATAAAATGCAGAACTCAGTGTACTTAACCCTGCTCAAGTACAAAAGGTTTTAAAAAGTGGAAGCAAAAATATTTTAAAATTTTCCTTCCACTAATTTTATCCGCAAATGGATTAAGATAACGAGCATTAATTTAGTAAAGCTGTGATGCTGCAAACACGGATCTTAAGCTGGTTCTACAATGTAGACTGTAAAGCAACACGCTGCTTGTAAGAACCAACGTTCAAGACATTTAAATTGTAAATCTATCCGCGACCGAGAAACTTAATAATGTCGTTTGACTCATCACAAAACAACTGATACTGAGTAGAAGAAAACAATTTTGTTTTCGCCATCAAGCTTCGGAGTTACAGTCGGAATTGTTTTATTATTTTTAGAATAAAGTAGTACAAAAGTTAAAAGATGTTTGTTTAGTCACGGTGTGCGTCATAGTATCGATATTGACACAATACCAAATCTAAATGTGTTTGTTTAGATAATATACCTATACAAAAACATATTAAATACGATAGGCACATATTTTATTTTTGCATGATTTTAAATTGCGACCCAAATTGCTTAACAACGCCCTTTAAAATTCGCATGAATTTACAACGCTCTAACACGACGGGGCTTGATTTCAAGGGGATGAAGGGGTTGGTTAGCGAATGAACATCTCCCCTTATTCTCTTCGTGATGGTTTTATTTTGATAATTAATTGCGGGACTCCATCAAACTTGATTCCAAGTTAACTCAATATGAAAGGTCAAGCACATCGTCCAATGATTTAGATTAACGCAGATTTCAGTAGGAGTATTTGCGGATAACTGATTTTGGGTTAATACTATTTAAGGCGGCAAGCTTTTTCAATCCAAAAATGACTGAATAAATCAACTTTTATAAAATATATCGTTCTAAATATAGAATCTTTGACTAGATACTGCTTGAATGCTGCTGAAAACCTAAGCGATAATGTATTCATGAATTAATTTAACATTGTTTTTGTAAACCTTGTAATAGTTATCTACGATGAAAATAAAGGTTATTGTTCGAAAAATACCCAAGTAAATTCATAAATAAAGTATTATCTCTTGAAAACTGATATTTACAGATAAAACACTTACCATCGGGAACTTCTATAGGTGCTACAGACACTACATTTTGCCCGGTGGGTAATTCCCGACCTGTAATTAGAACATGGTTGTAATAATCTACTTGATCATTAAATTACTTTAATCTCAAAGGAAACAAGGAGAATATTATGTAAACTGAATACTTTATAGCTCAAGTTTGTTCAGTAATTTATAAAATCAATGCATGCCATTGTTTGGAAACCCCAAGGTTTGTTTGCAGAAGAAATTGTTTCAACTTTAATTCTATGCCTTCGCCGTCTTGGACATTTATCATTTTATTTATGTGTACGTCAAACCTAGTGGCCTAATCCATTTATTATTTTATATATAAAACATTGAGTATATATCCTACGGATGCCTACCTATAGTAAATACTTAGGACCGTACATTTTAGAATGGTGCAATTTAAAGTAAAATGTTTCAGTCGACGCGGTACATTAACCAGAAACTTCACTCACGAACCGTGTATTCAACTAGTAAGACTAGACCAAAAAGACTTTGATAAAGCTTCTAGACAAGTCGTAAATTATATAAAAAAGGTTCTAACATTTATCCTTCGAAGTTGCTGCCACCATCTTTGTCTCGACACAAGAACTTTAACAAATTACCGTCCGATTGAGGTAAAGGTATATCGACCATTATTGTTACAAAATTGTGGAGTAATTAAACGGAAACTATTGCGTCCATGGATAAAAGTTTTAATTGTACATACGTGGACTATAATTGAGTTACACACGTGTCAGTTAAATCAGTTATGTACAAGGTGGAATGCCGTCCTACGTGTACTCTATGTAATAGTTGAGCCAGAAATTGTTATTAGTTATATAAAGCAAATACTTTATATATATATAATAAAATATGAAATTAAATCATTTATTTCGATTGCAAATATGGGTTAAAAATACAATACATGTTTAATATTTATAGTAACGTTTTCCACATTTTCCCGTTATGGCATGCAAATAATGTACAACTACATACGAGTATTTACTAATTAAATTTACTTAAAAAATTAACTCGTTTGTATCTCTTATATAATCGTTTTTATGTGTCCATAATTATGGTCATCATTATAGACAATAATATTTACGAAAACGTTTCACATTAGTGACCATAGCACTATCACTCAAACTATTAAACGCTATGATCTAAATAATTAAAATGATTAATTTGAACACTATGGCTCATTAATAAGAACTCAATTACCAGTGAATGATGATGTGTTCGCAAACACATTATTCGACATTTCGACTTAAATAAGTCATTTAATTTACTCTGACATTACATTCATGTCAATACTTCAATCTGAATATTTTAATAGTGAATCGTTTATCACATTTGACGTTAAAACAATGGATATTATTCTAACGCGTAAATATTCTGTTAGAGTATTCGGTATTGTAGGTTTTATATAAAATGTACGCCCATTACCCTTTAGATATTCGTTCGACCTAAGACATAATCAAATTTTAATACAACATTCATTAGATATGGGTAAACGTTAAGTTAGAATACAGTGTAGGTATCCCATTTACATGTATGATGATTATATATAATTTTGAACATGGTTCACAGAATATCTATTCATAGCAAACTTATGTGTGTGGTTTGTAGGTAACAAAAATAACTTTAGTTTAACTTACGATAGTCTATACCAAAAACGGGTACTTCGCACTGGATTTAAGTACATTTTAACTAATTTAGACTATATTGTTATTTTTTTGACTGCTTCATTGGCCGAGTGGTCACAAGTGAGTGCGACCGGCAAGAGGTCTCGGGTTTGATTCCCGGATCGGGCAAAGTATTACAGGGTTTTTCAAAAAATTCACAGTAGTAGCACGGAGTCTGGAATTGTGCCCGGTGTATGCCAATAGGCTCACCCCCTATTACATGGGACTTATAACATAAATAGTGAAAAGTGGGTGTTACATTGTACAGTAGCATAATGTACATCCCTTCGGGGATAAAAGGCGTAATGTTATGTTATGTTATTATTCTTTATGTGTTGAATTAGGACTTAAAATATGATATATAAAATAAGAATTAAAATATTATCACATTCTAATTTTAATAATGAAATCAATAAGAATTCACACAGAAAGGGAACTACTTTTAATAATGTCGTTAATTGAAAATGGAAACTAAAATAAAATAGCTGACTAACTAATGGTTGGTGCCATCATTAGCTATAGAGGCCTAATTATGGCAGCGATGATAAATAGCGCACTCCGCTTCCCCTCACTAATAATAATCACCAACGTAAGTACTTTTCACTATCGAAACTTTATTTCTCTTATATAATACTATCTAAAAATAACTATTTAAACTTTGACTGTACGGTTGGTGCGGTGGCTGGCCAACCGGCTGCCGTGCAACGTGTCGCGGGTTCGATTCTCGCTCGGAACAATACTTTGTGTGATCCACAAATTGTTGTTTCGGGTCTGGGTGTCATTGTGTATGTGAACTTGTATGTTTGTAAACGCACCCACGACACAGGAGAAAATCCTAGTGTGGGGCAATGAAAAAAAAAACTACAAATGATTTTTATGTATTTTATTATCTGTCTACGTAGGCGAGCTTCAATTGAATTCTACCTCTACAAAATGTCGTTTCTCTATAACAAAACCGAAGTATCCACAGTGCATGGTTTTAACTTTTTAAAAGCGTTACGGTCCGTTTTTGTCGCAGATTGAAAATTTATACACAAACATTTTCCACAAAACACTCTTCCGATGGAAATATGAGTCGTTTTATAAGAGCCGCTATGTTTTATGCGGAAAGTAAAATCTAAATAGAAATTCATTTAGAAAGTTACCTAAATTGCTTCCTTAATTATACGAGTCGTAGTGTGGCTCATTAAACTGGGATAGATTTTTGTGGGATAGGATGGTATATATGGCATTACGTCTACCGTTGACAGGCCCACTCCGCGGCAACGACAGGATTGTTCCATTATCGACGGGGGATGAATAATTGACAGTGTCGAGTGAACTCAGTGGATGCGGCGTTGTAGCGATAATGTTATAGTGCGTGACACGTGTAACAAATTTCTATGTGTTAATTTATTTCTTTCTCAAGTGTTTTTTTAATGTGTTTTGTAAAGTGTTAAAACAAAGAAAGTTGGAGATATTATTTTTAAGTCGCAAGATGAACTTACTGAAGTTTATATTGATACATTTTGAATAGTTTATGAAATAAGTACAAGTTTATTATTACCCTTAAGTGATTATGTGTTATTTGAACGTTGCCACAATAATGTATACTTAATCAAAATTCGGCCACCACAAAACTACACAGTTTAAATTAAACGTAATCAAATTATTCGTTGGCAAAACTGTGGCTAACTTCGTAGAAACAATCCGGCCTTAATATAAATTAAACACGGCCAATGTACGAATATAGTTTCGTAGATCCAAGTGTGAGGATGGTCGCAACTTCTCAAGCCCCGTTGACACGGGGTCATTGCGAGGGTAAACATGCCGCTTCCAGCCCAATTGCCAACTTACCCATAAGTGGATTGAATTCAGAAGTCGCCCTTTCATATTTGAACTAACAGCATATGTACATTAAGACTAATTTATTTGAGAGCGATCTGTGTACCCAGATTTGGTGTATCGGATTTCCATGTTTCTTCGGTAACTTTATTCTTTTATTAGCAAGCTTTTAGTTTTATTAATGTTGTTGTGTTTTGATGTATAGATGATTAATTACTATTGGTGTCTAATTCCATTTGCGCTTTAATTTCATGTGCCTATCTTTATCAAAATATTAGTTACGATTGGATTGCTCAATTAGTATATTAGGTTTAGAAGTAGTTTTGTTTACTTGTACCAAGGCAACCGACATACCTAAAAGGAACATGATAAGTTGCTTCATTTGTATCAGATTTTTACTTAGCTCGAGTTTACCTGATACACGTTCATTATCTCGGTACTCTCCGAGAAAAACGGTTTCCATTGAATAAATCCGTGTTCGCAGCTCTAATGTATAAATTCTCATCGTGTGTAGCAGGTGCAGTGAAACGTTCATTAGGTATAAACTTTTATTGCCATCTTACTATGAATGCACTTAAAGTGCTTTCTCCTTTTATTTCATCCGTGCATTAAGTTTAGAATTGGCTAAGAGTAATCAACTCCGATTTTAGTTTTTATTATTTGTTTGATGATAGGTAAATTAAAATAAAATAAACAATAGTGTTGGCTACTTTATTGATCATGTAGTATTATTGTTTATTTCTATTTAAAACTCGTACAAAGTAGTTAATATATTATTATATATTCTGGGCATTGTGTGTAGATAGCTACAGAAATTATAATCATCTCAACTTATCCATACAATGATAAACGACCCTAATGTTATATATCTACATAATAAGAAATATGACTTTCAATACTTGAATACATTTAATAAAATTTAACGCAATAATGCATTGATTAATTACAATGAATCTAATAAAAAATGTTTAAGAAGTAAGCACTAAAAGTAAAGAAAACGAAGATAATTTAAAGATACGCTGGGCTATTACAGAGAACTGATTTATGAAAAAAGTTTCACAACCTTAAAACCAATTTAGAAAAAGTTTTTTGTATTACGTTACGCTAGAAAACGAGCAATTTGAGTTTCTGTAATTTTATTTAATAAAAATAATGAGAAGTCAGATGACCCATTTATTGTAAAATATAGCCAGAGAGTTATTTTTAAAAATCAAAAGTGTTTTAGTTATTTTTTGGCAAAGGTTACACAAGCGGATGAGAATTAAGTTGTTTGTTTTATGTTCGTCCTGTTTTCAAAAAGTTTTGTATTTGTTTCTTTTAAGGGTTGTTTTACGTATTTTTCGCACGTAATTTCGTAGACCTTTCGCGTTTGACCGCATTTTTATGTTAAAAATTTCTACGGCCTTCGTACTTTCGTCACTTTGAATCGTGTCAATTCAATAAACGGAATGGTCTGCAGAATAACAATTATTGTTGCGCCCCTACGTTATATTCACTTCGTTCCTCAATCTTTGTTTTATAATTTACTTTTGAAGTAATGTCAAGCAGAAGGGGGGATCAAAGCATTTGAATTTTTGTTATTAAAGTTATAATGACTAAAATAGATTTTCAAGTTACCGAGCGAGAAAAATCTCGTTATAATGAAATTATTTTGTGGGGTGCTGTTTGTGTTAAACGTTTTCATATTAAATAGGTTGGTACCTTATTTTTTTAATATTTAATATCGTTTGTTTTAATAAGAATGTTTATTGTACTCGTCGAGTACCGGTTTTGTAGACACAATTATAGAACAATAGGTTGCGGTCACCGGTGACCGCTTGGTGTTTGACAGTTTAACAGTAAAATTTTGCAGTGTATGGAATTCTAAAATGCATCAACATTAGGGAATTGTATTGTAAACCTGATTGAAAAAGAGTAACCTATGGAGTTCTTGATGAATGATAAATGAGCAAATAGCTTCACTTTTAATTTGTTTTTGTTGATGTTCAAAAGTGCATTTCTGGTCTAATTGAAATAAATGATTTTGGCTTTGACTTTTGGCATTGTTTTTTTATTATTCGACATAATGTAGGTATAATAGATAGATACATTTATGTTAAAGCAATACAAACAAAAGAAATTTAAAGATACGAGACTATTCAAGCGCAATTGCTCCGCATTTTAGTGAAAATTCCATTCCCGTTATCGCAAGTGAAAAACCAACGTCTGCTTATTTGTTTAAAAAGCTTTTAGGGCTTAAACGGTGCATGCGAATTATTTGGGAGTGCACACATGTGCCTATGTGTGTTTAGTCAACATCGTTTGTGAGTAAATGTTCCTATTAGGGAGGCGAAAGAGCAAACGCGAGATAGTCAATAATTCGTGACGTCATTTAGGCATTTACATCGAGAAAAAACATCGATAAAGTCACGGTTCTCGGAAGATGGCCAAGGATATCCGGCTATGCGTCACGTCACTAGTCCCAGTACATTTTGTTTGTGATCCTTCCCCCTTGTTAACCGAATTACTCGCATGTTATGGGAACAACGTCTTGTGACCCTCCGAATACATCTACTTGAGGAGCTTAGCAATCGCTGCTACCGTCGAAGGGACAATTTATATGTATTTTATACAATTATGATAAAATCGATAGATTTTTTTGTATAGATAGTTGTTTCATGATCGCATTTCTGTTAGTAAATATGGGAATTTGTTTTAGTTTGTTGCGAAACAACTAAATATTTAAATTTAATACAAGTTACAGAACTACGTTATTCATGGAAAAAATAAAGTAAAAAACTGACAAATGGATGAATACATTTTTGTGTGACGATGTGAATTTTTAGCATATAAAAATTTAGTCTAATAGGTGGTCCGTCGAAATGTTGAATAACATAGTAGAGTATATTTTTTGCAATATAATTTCAAATAGGTTTTTTTTATTTCAAATTTGATATAGGTTGGCGTGAATAATAAATGGTTTTAATTACGTATCAAGGCTAACAAACGTTGAATAGTAATAAATATTCCTTTAGCCTACTGGCCTGAATTCAGATTTCAGTTAGATACTTAATAAACATTTCTAGTAAAACAACAAGTTTTAATTAATTCATTGTGTTGTATTAAGGTGTCAATGACCGCAATTTAATAATTGCGTTAGTAAATCTATTGATTTAAATAAACTCACACGATAGATATACCTACCCCTTTTAATAAATAAAGCATAAAATAAATCAGTATTCTAAAATCAAAAGATTTAAATTATAAAAAAGGTTTTATTCAACATGGCGATTCGAATTAAAATGATAATGACAAAAATACTTTGCGCTGTTTATTAACGGTCAGACTACTCGCACTTGTTATCATTTTATTTTATTGCTAGCAATTAAACATAATTGCATAAATATTTTGATAAAACTGAATGATAACTAAAGGAACACAGTTTAATATGATAAATAACTTGCTTCTTACTATAATGTAATAAGTTTACTTGTTTAATATAAAAAATAACGTTCAATAAAACAGCGAGAAATATTTTTATCTGAGGAACATTCAATCGCAAGGCCAGAGGGCCAAGATACAAAGGAAACAGGAAAATACTTATGTTATTATACCGATATTTCATGTTCCCCGTCGACGAATAAAATAAATACAATTTAAGGAGAAGCATTAAATAAAGTTTGTTTTTTTTTATTCCAATAACAAAACGACCTATTAAATATTATTGCGAATAATTTTCACACTACAACATTAAATTGCGAATAATTTTCGAAAATAGAACGTTAAATCAAAATTGAAACAAAAGACAATAACTGAGGTTACAAAGCAAAACAATAACAGCGCGTCTAACTAGAAAGTTTGAAAAGAGTTTGAAGGAGAAATGCTAAAATACCGTCAATCTATTACTTCCGCAACAGTAAAACATAATTCGTATTTTACACAAAACTTTTTACAAGTTGCCGGCGAACTCAATAAAAATGCTAATTGCACTATCAACTCACCTGTGGTGGTACAGCAGCCAGTCAATAACTCTATCCATATAACACAATATAAATGTATAAAAGGAGTCATTTTGTCCGAGTCACATTAGATGATTGTCCTTTTTATGGTCGCGCGGTTCACCTGTGTTGTTGAGGTCGTACGCGTGCGATAGGGAACCGTTGGGCGGGCGTGGAGCGTCCCATCGCTGGGCGGGCTACAGAGGCACTGCCGCGGGGCGCCACTCCGCCGCGCTAACTACCCCCAGCCGGATAAACAACCCCGAGAAACCGGGAACAAGCAGACAAGCCGTCTCGCTAGCCTTTATCGCCGCGACTGACTAACAGCATAATAAAATAAGACAAAAGACGAATAACCAAAGAACAAGCCGGCCGCGGATTTCTCTCCGATGTGAATCATCAAATTAAATCGGTAACAGATAAACTTGGACTTTCTATCTGTGGCAGCAATTTTGTTAGAAGAAAACAATGTTTGCTGTCAAACTTTGAACCGCTGGGCGTTGAGGCAATTTTGAGCAATTATAATAAACGTATTAGCTTTAAAATGTTAATATTTTGTTTATAATTTGTTTTCGAGGTTAATTGCTATAAATTTATAAATAATGAAATAATTGCCTCAGTGAAATAATACCACCTGACGATAAAACTTAATACCTATAAAATAAGGTTGACAGTAATGGTGTCATGTAGTATCTGTTGTATGCTTAATCTATATACTACTGAGCGTCCATACATTTCCCCTCATACGCCACGGAACATATCCACCGCAATCTACAATAAAAACACTCAAGTCATAATCACGCATTACTAAACATCTGAATCAGCCAACATCCCGTATAATATGACAATAACGAGTGTCTGAGGGCAGAATGTACAGTGTTATTGCCGTATCACGCTGTAGGAGAGTGTCTCGACATCCCAGACACTCCAACCACGAGACCACTGCATCGCAATAATGTTGTTCTTAAGTGTAACTGGCCCCTTGTACCTCGCCCCGAGCTTGTATAGACTACGAAAATATCGGGGTTATCAAGAGCGACAGAGCGTTCAACAATATTCAAGATAAAATTGCTCTCCAAACAATGTTATTTTGAAATTTTAGCTCTATTGTATTGACATAAATCTGTTTATTGAATGAGCTATGCAAATATGTGCATAATGATTTTATTTCTAGGTATCAATTATTTGTTTTGGATTTAAGTCAATATTTGCCAGTTTTATGCTACCTTTATTTACATATTGTAGAACATGGCGTTTTACAAATTGTTCATAATATAGTTTTATTGGACAGCAAATAAAGTGTTATAATTTTTTTTTATTATGATATTATTAAGCCATATATATTATATGATATAATATGCTAGCAACCAGATACTGAACCGCTGCTCCAATTCAAGTTGCACTTAAGTATCTCGCTGCCTCTGTATCTTTAGCGACAGAAATTTTTATAAGAACGTCTTAAAGTGGAGTGGTTTGAATATTTTGGCGTAGTATTGAAATTGAATTGTAATTTGTGTGTAGTCGCCTGTCATGTAATTTTTGCCATATAAGCTATAAAATCAACAACGGAAAGACCTTCTCATATAAGTTTCAAATCATCTTATTTGGATTAGTATAAGTACTTAACGTCACACTTTTGCTATATACTAAGCAAAAGCCACCACTGTACAATG